GGGGGGGGGGGGGGGGGGAGAAGGCGCGCGTGCAGTGCACACCACCTCGACGCCAGCTGAAGAGAAAAGACCAATCGACGAGGAGAACGAGGACGACAACGTCGTCCACACGAACGCGTGTCTCGGCCGCCGAATCTGGTGTCGATGTCGATGTGGCTGTCGCTTCAAGGATCTAACCCAACCTTTCTCACCCTCGTCTGTTGAAAACCCTTTCTTTCTTTCTTTCTCTCTCTCTCTCTCTCTCTCTCTCTCTCTCGCTTTTATTTTTTCTTATTCTTCTTGACTTTCAATGATTTTTCCTCATGACCCAATCCCGACGTTCGATTTCGTATAAATACCCTTCACGTTTGCAGTTTGCTCAGGTAAAATTTTGCGCACAGATCCCAGATCAGCGCCACTAGAGAGACGCTACATTACATTTCCTTACCATCCCTCGTCATTTTAATATATGATAATTGTCGGTCGATGCGTCAGATTATCAAATACGATATCCTTGGCAATGTCCGCACGGCCCACAATTTGCAATCGAATATGAAATATGCGCGGCTTGCTTCGAGCTATAAACATTAAGTTATTGTCCTAGAGTAAATACCATAAAGCTAACACGCGTACCTCGTTTCTCCATCGGTGTAATAACATATAAATCAGATTCGACTTTGCTAATTCGCCCGAAATGAAAGGTATAAAAATTAAGCCCCTTAAAATAAAACTTGGCTTTGTATGTAGATGATTTGTGCGTGTGCGCGCGCGCGCGCGCGCGCTGAGTCCGATGATGCCACGGCAGCTAGGATTAGCGGCGCATCTTGCGAAATTTATGAAACCAAATGCGAAAAATAATGGAACGAAAGAGGGCCGCCTTGCCTCGACCGATCCACATCCCTCCTCCACCCACCCATCCATAAACTATCGATAAAAAGCCCACGGATTCCTTGTGGGACGAATAAATCAAGAATTTACCTTTCTACCTAATGACTTAATTTATTTTATAATTACATTTTTTCTTAACGTAATAACGATATACATAAATAAATAAATTAAAGGATGTCGTAATTTAGGTGCATTGTGTCAGAAATTTGCATTTGTAAGAGCAACGACAAATCGAAATCGCTACAAACGTGATAAACAAGTTAATCCATCCGACTAATTTTCCTTCATAATTACTTCATTCGCAACGTTAAATTTGCACTAGATAACTAAATTTTTTTTTAATCATTTTATCATGTCGTTTATAGGTGTTTTATTTCAATCAATCAATCAATCTATCTATCTATCCATCTAAGAATTTGTTTATATACAAACACATACACATACGACCATCTATCTATTTATTTATGTATATATCAGTCTATCGATATAATATACGCGCGCGCGCGCGCGCGCATATCTCTATTTATCTGAAAGTCACAACGCCTATGACGCACGAAGACTCTTCTTTTTTTCGTCGATCCTTTACCCTCCTCCCTTCCGCCCTTTCCGAATGTCTCTTGCCGTTCTATTTGCTACCCCTTGCGAAGGCTTAGGAGCTCCTTGCGCTCTCGTTCTCTCGAGGGACGCAACGTTAACCTATTTTTTCCTCTGCTTTGGTGGCACGTGATCGCCACTGCACACAGGGAACAAAGTAACGAGAGATTTGCCCCACGGCGAAGAGAAGGGATAAATGTTGATTGACTGCAACTTTGACTTTTGCCGAGCGTTGAAAGTTCATCAAATCTATTGTGTTTACTATGGCAAGGTTGACTTGTTACAAAATTAACTAACACAACTGCTAAACTCGCCGCTTTACGTGCGCAATTTCTACACAACTCGGAATATGCGCAGCCTTTGTCATGTAGTATTGGAAGGACATAGAAAGCGTACGTGGAAGTTCCGCATGACAATGTTGGTCACTGCTTGTTCACATAATTATTTCTGTAAATATTCTGATTCTTATTTCCATTTAGATATATGTGCTTATAGCTCAAGTTCCGCCAAATCTCATTGTATCCCCAATTACAGTAAATTGTATGACAGTGTATAACGATGCCCACCGTTATAAAACATTTTTAATTCTTTTCAACTCTTCGCTACTTTACTTTATATGTCAAACTTTTCAGTACAATAATTTCATATTGTAAAACTTAATAAAGCACCATTAAATGTTTCATTCGACACAATTGTTATTCAGCGAAATAATACATTGAACGATCAGATTTAATGTATGGATAATTGAGTTGGAATATCACAACATTGATCAACACATATAATTCTCGCTCAAGTTTACTTTATTCATTAAAAAAAAAGTATCCGTATAATAATTTTGAGAAATACTGTTTGGGTCCATGTAAATTAACATTTAAATCTATCCAAGCAAATGACATACAATTATTTAAAAATATAATAATTATGCTAATTAATTTTATAACTCACCAAATACAAATTACTTTATTTCACTCATCAATAAGAAGACGAAAACGTGCGCACTTACCTAAAACAAAAAATTAAACAAAACAATAAATAAATGTTAGGTCTTTCAATTAATTCGTTAGATAATATTGTATGGTATTATTAAAATTTCATAAAGTAAACTCATAATACATGGACATTACAATTGACATGTGCTATTTAAGAATTTACATAAGGTATGCAATAATATAAATTTAAAAATTCTTAAAAATACGTTAAACTTACTAGCCTGTAGTAAATGTAATTAAACAATTCTGTTTGATATAAAAAAAAAAAAAAAAAAAATTAACTGTCTAAGTAATATTGGCTTATGACAATTATATTTGCAATCTATCAAAAAAAAAAACAAAAAATATCTGCCAGTAGTCAGATAACAAAACAGGAGTTCTTTCGTTCCTATTGTATTAGAAAGTTATTTTTAATCGTCAATTTTGAAATTATCAAGTAGCTCCGATATCATAGATTCTATTATTTCAATAAAATTTAAAACAATTTTTAAACAATAATATTGCATCAATATTGAAATTCTACGCGTAATTTATATATATATATATATATATATATATATATATATATATCATTGCACCAATAAACAATATTCTAATATTAATTAATTTGGTTAATAAAATTATAATGCAGCATATAAATCCACAATCGTTGTTCTATTATTACTATAATAAATATTATGGTAAATAATATTTTTTAAGATACCGTATTATGTTATTCAGAAGAAATTTATATAAATCTATGTAAGTGAGAGAGATATGTTTTTATCACTGATGAAAATGTCATAATGTTGTGTGTATGTCCAATAATTAAAGGAAAAGATTATCAAGAATTTGAATTGATAATTTAATTGAAACAGTCAGCTATTTGTCGTGGTCGGTAAATTAAGTTGAAAACAGATTTTTTTTTTTTTTGTCTCGATTTTACCGTGAAAAAGTCTGAAAATTTAATAAATTAAAATTATTGATATTCTTATTCTTACTATTCCATTCGTATTATTTGAAAAATTATTATTTGATATTATAGTTGCTATTCGGAAGTATGTACGAAAGACCTTATTGTTGGTTATTTTATTTGTTATTCGTTGTCTACTACATGAATACTTAAATAAATACTTGAATAATATTTTATTACTAAAACGTAATAACATGTTTTATATACTAATTCAGATATAAAAAAAATCATCGATAAAATCATGAGCTCGTTATTGCTCACAACTAAATTAATTAAATCATATAATAAAT